GAGGAAGCAGGCGCAGGCACCACAGCTGTCACCACCGTCGAGGCCATGAAGAAAGCAGACGGGGCCTGGCGTGCAGCCGCGAACAGGTACAGCCAACTCGTCGCCAACGTGCTGAAGCTCAGGGAGAGCCTGCGCACCGCGGAGGCCAAGGATACCGAGGCGGCGCTGGTGTTGGCGAAAACAGAAGCCACAAAGAAGAAGACAACCACCGCCTTAGCCAAAGTCGAGGGCGTCGGCCCGGCCGACCCGCGAAAAGGCATGGGCGAGGCTGGCACCGTATTCTCCGTCACCTGGGACGCTCAGCTGTTCGCCGAGACGGAGGAGCTCGACCTAGAGGAGGCCGGGCGCACGGAGCTCACCAACGTCAGGCAGGCGCTGGATGGGGCTCGAGAAGCAGTTCGAGGAGAGGGGGCCGCAGAGGCAGGAGCTCATCAGGCGTGCCCACGCGGTACGCAAGCAGCAGCAGGAGCGGCCCGCCACGAAGCGCAAGGGCGCCGACGGCACCGCCGCAACGGTGCAGCAGGGGGGCCTCCGCGGCAGGCGCGGCAGGGGCCGCCACCGCCAGCGCGGCCGAGGGCCAGGCGCGGGCGGACGCCCCCGCCGCCCCTGCCACGGACCCCAAGGCAGCGGCGGAGCAGGAGCCCGACACCCAGAAGGAGGCCCAGCGGATCTCCGCCGCCAGGTTCGCAGCGCGGCCACGGCGGCCGAGGCCACGGGCAAGGGCGGCGCAGCGGGCGCTGCGGAGGCGCCGCCGCCGCCAGCCGCGGGAGGCCAGCCAGCTGGGGCAGCCGGGGCAGCCGCTGGCAGCGCAGCCGCCGCATCCCATTGACTAGGGACTGCGGCAGAGCCGACCGAGGAGACCGACACCACCCAGACCTCCTCCTTCCTCTACAGCAACATCACGCGCATGGGTGACAGGGCGTGGGATTACCTTCTCACCCAGTCCACGTACGATTTTTTCGGCCTCGCAGAGACGCACACAGGACCAGCTGATTTGGGCAGATGGTCAGGCAAAGTTCGAGGACACCATCTTATAGTGTTTCACAACGCCGCTCGTCCTTCCAAGATGACAAGCCTTGGGGTACGACTTGACTCTGTTGACGAATCGCAGTCTGCTGGACACGCCAACGAAGGAGGCGAATGGATTTTAGCTAGGGGGCACCTCCAGGCTCATATCTTCCACGAGGGAAGCCAATCTTCTGCTCTCAAGGCCAAGCCTAGCAACGGCTCGTCTGCCTGTTAGGAGCGTTTTGAAATGTTGGCTGGTGAGGGTTACTGCGAGTCGGAATGCCCCGTTGTTTCGATAGTGACTGGCGAACGCATCCATGTCGCTGCCGTATCGGAGTCTATGTTGGCCGCTTGCGGGTTTGGGGGGAGGTAGAACATGTGTCGGCGTGCGCTGCGTTCTTGAGTTTGAGGTACGTATTGTCAGTCGTGGGTGGTAGCTGTTCGGTAGAGAATGGTGTTGCTCCTGAGTCGGGTCGTAGAGGGGGTTGCGGTAGGTACTGCTGTTGGTCGCGATGTATGAAGAGCCTGCTGTTGAACTTATCCAAGTACCTGCGCCATACTGGTAGTGGTGGAACGTCACTGGGGATTCTGTATGAGTAAGTGTTGGACCTTTCATGGTCGTATACTGCGTGATGTCATCGGTCGTCGTCGCAATCGGTGTCGGTGTCGCTGGCGCGGTGGCAGTAGACTGTCCATCCGTTGGGGCAGTGCGTATGTCGTGACCTCGATGTGGAGGCAACAACGTGAGGTAGACGACACCGCTCAGAGGCCGCTCGGCCGCGGTCCAGCGCCGTACACCAGGCGCAGGGCGGCCACGCGGCCCCGGATGTGTCTGCTGCTACGTCCATTGTGGCCCAGGGGCCACTGTCGTCCGCACTGCGGGCTGCATCGGAGGTGTTGGCATCTGTGCCTCGGATGGCGGCACCGATACTCGTATATCCCTCCTCCTCCTCCTGCTCCCCCTCCTCCTCCTCCTCCTCCTCCTCCTCCTCCCCCTCCCCCTCCTCCTCCTCCTCCTCCTCCTCCTCCTCCTCCTCCTCTCCTCCTCCTCCTCCTCCTCCTCCTCCTCCTCCTCCCGCCCCGCTCCGGCCCACCGCGCGGCCTCCTGGCCGGCCGAGGCCTCGGGGCGTCGGCGGGGGCGGGGGCCTCCCCCTTCCTCCCCCCCCCCCCCTCCCTCCCGTCGCCGTCCCCGCCAGACCCGCCGCACGGCCCCCCAGCCAGCCGAGGTCGTGAGGGGTGGTCGACGGGGTCGCCCGCCCTTCCCCCCCCCCCCCCCCCTCCCTCCCGCCGCCGTTCCGCCAGGGCCCGCAGCACGGCCCTCCAGACGGCCGGGGTCTTGGAGGGTCGGCGAGGGTAGGGGCCCGTCCCCTCCTCTCCCTTCTCCTCGCCCTCCCGCCGCCGTCCCGCCCAGACTAGTCGGCTGAGGTCCCGGGGGGTCGGCGGGGGGGAAGGCCTCCCCCCCCCCCTCTCCTCCCCCTCCCACCGCCGTCCCGCCCTGGCCCGCCGCACGGCATCCCAGCCAGCCGAGGTCTTGGGGGATCGGCGTGGGTGGGGGCCTCTCCCCCCCCTTCTTCTCCCTTCTTCCCCTCCCGCCGCCGTCCCACTGGGATCCGCAGCTTGCCTGGATTCCAGAGCAGAGAAAACGGTCGCGTCCGCCAGTCCCGCAACTACATACGAATGGCAACTGCATTGTGCCCACGAGACGTCAACGTGCGCGTGCCCATGCAGACGTGTCGTTGTTTGTGGGGGTCCGAGCTGCTGAACACAACTGGTGCAACTTCCGCTTCTCTCTGGGGGAGCACAAGTAGTTAGCAATAGTGGCAGCTGCGCCCGTCGAGCCAGATGTTCCAAACCATCAGGACGTTTGCATTCATTTTCGCTTGGCGCTTTCGCTGGGACTTTCTCCCAGCGCGCAGCGACGACGCGCCCCGACGACTGGAACAGGCCCTGGACCGCAAGGTCCTCCTGGGTTGGCTGGTGGCGCCCGCGGCTTTCGGGCTCCAGATCCGCAACCAGCCCCCCGTGCCCACGCACCGGTCAGGCTCCATCGTCGATCTCCTCGCCGCCCCCCCAGGGATGCGGGCGACCCTGGAGACGGTCCCGCCGGGGTCGTCGGGCGTCCTGGCTGGTCGCGCGTGTCCGGTCGCCCGCCTGCCGGGCGCGGTGGAGGCACCCGCGCCGCTGCGCGTGCTTCCGGCACGGTGGAGGCGGGGCGCCGACTGGGACTCGGCCCTGGCAGCGCTCCCGAGGTCTCTGGAGTTCGCCGCGTGCTGGGGCGGGGGCCGCGGCGCGCAGCCCAGTCCTGCGCGGCTGGCTGGCCGCCAGGCGCGCGCGCGCCGCGAGCACGCGGCGGCCGCGGCGGCCGCCCTCGACGAGGCAGCCGCGAAAGCGGCGGCGTAGTTCAGCGCCCTCGCAGCAGGGCGCGCCCAGAACCCCGACAGGTGCCTCGGGCTCGCGGCAGGGTCGCCGGGAGTGGGCGACGCCTGCCCGGGTCGCTCACTGCGTCCTCGCACGCCGCTGCAGCTCGCGCTCGCCGACCTCGGCACTCGGGGCCGCTCGGGGCCCGCCGCGACCCTGGGCGCGCTCCTCGATCCTCGAGGGCGTGCCGAGTCGCGGCCGCGCGCCGGGGCCGCCGCCGCAGCCCTCGCGCCGAGCGGTGGCCGAGGAGGTCGGGCGGAGCCGAGGGCAGGCCCTCCAGGAGACCACGAGGGCCAGAGATGGGGAGCCGCTGCTCACGAGGAAGGCATGGGAGGCAAAGGGCGAGGCTGGCCAGCCGGAGTGGCAGCGCCGAGCGGGGTCTTCGCCACTGCACACGCCCCGAGCTGCGCTCGGGCTCCTGCCTCCTCCCTCCTCCCTCCTCGCTCCTCCCTCTTCCCTCTTCGCTCCTCGCTCCTCGCTCCTCCCTCCTCCCTCCTCGCTCTTCACTCCCCCCTACTCCCTCATTCCTCCCCCTCCTCCTCCCTCCTCCTCTCCTCCTCCTCCTCCTCTCCCTCCTCCTCCTCCTCCTCCTCCTCCTAGTCATCCTCCCCTCCTCCTCCTGCTCCTCCTGCTGCTGCTCCTCCTCCTCCTTCTCCTCCTCCTCCTCGTCCCCTTCGACTGCGTCAATGCTGGCTGCGGACGGCGGAAGGGCACGCCAGAAACGCTGCTGTACAGAAACGGCCATGACGACGGCATCTCTGGGCACAACAAGGGCACAAAGCTACAACGGGGTTGACGGAGCAGAGGACATGCACTCCTGTTTCCCTGCGCATTGAACATGTCATCAACCAGGGCTTTCGACCCACGTGCTTCGAGAAAGACCAACATGGGGGAACACTGTAGAGCTACGACGTTGGAATCGATGCTGAGGTCCAGATTTGCGACATTTCGAACGCAGTGCTCCCCAATCAGTGCTTGCACTGAAGGGGTCCTGGCGGAACTGGAAACATTTGGCGACAAGTTGTAGATTATTATTATTTATTTGTCTTCTTCTTAGTCTTAGTATTATAAATATTATTTTACTAGTATTATGATTACTACTAATTGTCTTATTATTATTATTATTGTTATTATTATTATTATTATCATTATTATTAATAATACTAGTAGTTGTAGTAGTAGTAGTAGTAGTAGTAGTAGTAGTAGTAGTAGTAGTAGTAGTAGTAGTTGTAGTAGTAGTAGTAGTAGTAGTAGTAGTAGTAGTAGTAGTATTACTAGTATTGGTATTATTATTATCATCAGTATTATTATCATTATTATTATGGTTCATCTTCTTATTCATTATTACCATTATTATAATGATTAGTATTATTGTTAATATTCCGATAAAAATAAGAATAAGAATAATACTTATTATCATTAGTAATACTATTCCTACTACGAATAATACTATTATTTTTGGTATTCTCGTTATTTGTGGAACCAAGAACCAAGTAAAGCACAAATGCGCGGCAAATCAACGCGCAACAGCGGGCAAAAGCGGGTTGGCTGAACTCTCACGGGAAATTGCCCGCCTCATCCTCGTCGCCGGCGAGCGCCGACGTCAACCGTTTGCTGTCGTTCACCTGCGCCTTCTCCTCCACCGTCGTCACGTTCAAGAGACGGAAAATCGCATCGAGGTAGCGCCGGGAGGGGTCCGCGCTGGGATGGTACCCATCCTTCAGCCACAGGGACGGATCGACGAACCCGCGCTCCTGGATAAGATCGTCCATGATCTTGCTGTATTCGATCAACTCGTACTCGCCGTACAGCTTGCCATGTCTCACGTGCTTCCTTAGCTCCCTCCGCATCGTGCGGACCCCACCGGCGGAGCTTGCCGCAATGTCACTGTCGTTCTCGATCCACTTCGTCTTGTACACCGCAGGCGCAGTCCGGAAGACGACGCGGCTCTTCCAGTACACCCCAAACACTCGGGCCACAAGTCCCACAGGGAGCTGTCCACCACGACCACGTCAGGGAACTGCTCCCCCACCGTGCCCACGGACCACTGGTACAGAGACTTGTCGTCAGAAATGGGCTGCCCTATATCGGAACCCCAGTGGGTGCGGTTGTAGAAGGGCGGCTGCAGGTCACCGTTGATGCTCACCCGGGGTGACAGACGAAGCCGATGGAGAGCTCGCGCTCCTTGTCGTAGCACCCCACGCGATACAACTGTTCCACCTTGCCACAAAATGTCTCCAGGGCGTTCCTGTCCACAGAACACCCCAGGATGAGGACCGAGTGGCTGGAACTGCGCAACTGTGTCAGGGCGCCCGCGTCGGCATGGAGCCCGCTCGCCACAGCGACGCAGGCCGCCAGGCATTCTGCGCGAATCATGGTCGCAGGAGCAAGAGAAGCTCGGTCCCCGAAACATTTGTTTCGACCCGTTCCCGCTGGCTTTGTTAGAGCTTGTTTGTAAAAGTCGGTCTGCCGATTTGGCAGACCAGCGCAGAGGGCCCCCAAGTGTTAGCCCACCGAGCCCACAGACAAGCCCAGGGCCCAAATCCACCAGGCACGAAGGCACATAACAAACACACCTCACGAGGGGGCCTCAAAAACTAATATCACTCTGCGCTCCAGCTTCCATGCCTCAGCGACAGACCTATGCCTGCGCGCTGTGGCTCTCACTCGAACGTGAATATGCTGCGAAACGCTGCCCGACGAAAGCTGGCGGCGGCGGCGAGAAGGGGGGCATCAGTTCTCCGAGCCAGCGTTCACATATCCAATAGCACCGTGAGCAGCGTGAATAGTGGAGAATCTCGTCTAAGTCAGAAAGAGTAGGGGCAAACGTATCAGTACAGCAACCGAAAAGACACCCGTGATATTGGGCGTGAAATCTGGCAGACGTGTTCAAACCTCTGGTGAGCACCCGCAAGCAAGGGAGGCCGAGATAAGGCCCAGTCCGACGAATCACATGCTTGACAGCTTTTGAAACCACCACCGCGGCATCCTCAGGAACCTCGCCCGTCCACCTCCTCATCCGAATCATAAGGTCAATTTTGGCGTCGTGAGAGAACTCAGGCGAGGCAGCAGGAGCACATCCCACCGCGGCCTGGAAGCGCTCCCACTCCTCAGGGATGCACTTGGGAGACGCAACTATCACTCCCCGAGCGCTGCGGTACGTTGCCAGAAGAACGAGGGCGAAACTCACCCTGGCCCAACCTGACATCGCACGGACAATACAGGCGTCGTCGCTCGCAAACAGCTTTCCTAAATCCTCGAGGATCTCCAGAATCTCAAGGCACCTCGAAACCAATTTGAACTTGGTAGCCCGAGACACCACCTCAAGGTTCTTGCAGTGGCCAGAGAAGCCCGCGGAGGTAAGGTTCGTCAGCATCTCATAGTTGAAACTGAAACGAGGACCAACGACTAGAAGCTGAAGCGCGTTCTAAGATGCCGCGGTCACAGATCGTGAGAGAGGGGCGACTTGCATAACAAAGGATAATTTGCTAAGACGGAGCGCGTAGAACGTGGGGGCGTTCTTCGCAAAGATGAGCCCAGCCTGGCGCACCTCTCCCACTCTCGGTGCAAACTTCGCCACCGGCTTCGTCCAGTGGCACTCGCGAGCAGAGCATCCAAGCATCGTGTCAAGGTACTTGCATGAGAGAACCACCCGGCCCTGGACAAGTTCAAGGATGTGCTCAGCAGTGCACTGCCGCAGGCGACCTTAAAACGCTGCAGGGTGAACTAATCAGACACTTGTGAATATTCAGGGCAAAGCCAAAAGCAGCCTCGAGCGACTGAGTCAATTGAAACAGACGGGCGATGTGTATAGTCGCGTTACGTATTCCATACAAACAATCATCAGCACGTTCAAGCTTCAGGTGGAGGCATCCCCAACAGTTCTTACTGATGCGCACCTGGAACGGAGCCGCCCCCAGACAGAAGAGCACCATGGGGGCAGGGTCTCCTTCGCGCACGCCTCTAGCAATCGCAATCGTGGCATGCGCCTTGCCCATCATAGAAATCAAAGCAGTGTTATAATAATAAAGCACGCGGCACAATTGCACAATAAAGCTCGGGACCCTCATCGCTTCTAAAACGGCCAGGAACCGGTCAAACGAGATCGAGGGGAAGGCGGCAGAGTAGTCCGTCAGGGCAAGCGAGCGATCTTCCTTCCCGAGCACGTGTTCAGAGAGCGCCCAAGATTCAGACCGCGCAGTATGCGCAGCCATGCTGCGACCAGAAACACAAGCCTGCGAGCGTGAGACCGCCAGCTGAGCAGCCTCGTTCAGCGGGCGACCCATGCACGAGCTCAGCAGCTTAGCACCAATGTTCGCCATGGAAAGTGGACGTGTATTTTCAGGCGTTCTGTAAACGTGGGCCCCGGCATCGTCCTGGGAATCTCCTTTCGGTAAGAAAACCATCAGGACCTCCAGCATGTCCCGAGGAAGCGATTCATATTGACCAGACGCCAGATCCCGATAAAAATCGAATAGAACTCGCGGGGCATCTCCTAGGCGCCAACAGCAGCACGGTGTCCCATCAGGCCCAGGCATGCTGTGCTTACGAGTCTTGATGATGTCTCCGAATAACGTCTCATAGTCCACTTCCCAAGACACATTCGCTCCTAAAAGACACCTGTCGGACAAAAGACAGAAGCTCGGGCCACTTGGAGCGGCTCTCTTGCATCTCGCAGAAGACCTCGCCCCAATGTAGCTTCAGAGCCTCGGCGGTGGCCTCGGGCGCGGGGCCGGGTGTGCTATGTTCGCCCACGTATCCTTGAAGCCGCGTGCGACGACGGAACTGCTGCCAGAAACTTCGACGACGAGCAATCTTCTTCTTCTCCTTCTCCCTCTGGAAATCACCAGGGGGGGTTCTCAAGCTCTAAACTCTCAGCATCAAGCGCCTTCAAATATAGCTCGCGAGTGTGCTGACAGAAGGGGAAACGGATCAGCACGTGCAAGAGTAGCGTCATCAACACATTCAGAAAGCTTGGGGCAACGAGCCAGGGCATCATCAGTCATCTTGACGTTCTGCAACCATAGGCCGCGCAGGGCAGCCATAGACCAATGCTGACGCTCCTCATATGTACTAGCCACTCGAAGCTTAATGCGTCAACGGGCACGCGCAGCCGCTGAGTGCACGCAAGCTTTGGCCCATGCCAGTCGCGCATCACTCTTCCTGGCAGCAGTCGGCGCACATGAGAGCCTGTCCAGCTCGTCGGCAAACCCTGGAGACTTAGCAAGCCACAGCGGGATATTCTTGCTCTCAGACAGGTCAGGGGCGCGCAAATTGAGATCCTCGACGCGACGGGGGCGCGGTCAGACGGCGTATCGATTTTTAGACGGCCGTTTGTTGATGTCGAGATAGTCATGTCCGCAAGAATGGCACTGGGCGGCGAGCAGTAAATCCGATCCAGCCGCGCGGCGTGGTCGATCATGTTATTTACTCCAGCCTTACGCGCGTCCATATCTTGATGGAACTCAATCAGAGCAGGCAGGATGCCGTGGAACGCCCGGGTACGCCCGCGGCCTCCTGGCCCCCAGAGTCCGCCGTGCGATTGCTGGCGCCCCTCACCCTCCAGAGTAAAATTCCAGCCCCCGAGGAGAAGAATAAAATGGCCAACGGACATCAAAAGTTCACCGCGGGTCACTCGGAGCACAGATCGGTAAATGTTAATGTTGTCAGAAACGTTAGGCATGTGGATATTACCATTGTTGCGCTGGCCGTCAGGGCCCGACATCTCCGCCAGAAGCACTCGGCCTTCAATCAGAGGTCGGTGGACGACCTTCGAAAAATAAGTAGCGCACTTCTTGATGATGGCAGCGATCAGACCACCGGCGCCAGCACGAGCAGAGAAGAACGTGCAGCCAAAAGGGTGGGAAGGGAGCTGCATGGAGAGATGGTCGATACCACCTGGGTGACCGTGGGCTTCTCGGGTAGCGACGATATTCTGGGAGAGGCGCGTGCGTTCGAACGTGCGCATCTCCTTCTAAGCACGATCCTGACGGAGGGAGTGAGTAGACGTGATCACCCCGCCAGCATTCCAAGAACAGACTGAGTAGGGGGGGGGGGGGGGGCAGAAAGGAAAAGCAAACTATCGACGCAGCAACTCGCACGGTGCAACGTGGCTCGATGGCAAAAAGACAGGCGGCAACAGATCAGCAGAACAAATCGGCGCGGCAGGCTCAGGGGGCTCAGCTGGGCCGCGATCATCTCCACGGATGGTGCCCCCATGTCCCAGCAGACGCTGCGCCTGGCAAGATCTGTCCGTTGGTATCCGCCACGCCCCGTCCTATTAGTATGGTTTATTATTTACGGCAATATCGAAGATGAAATCAATCCCCGCGTCAGAGAACTTCCACTGATAAAGTTCATCGCGGTTCGGTACGATCACAAACTGGCCGTCCTCCGTCTGAGAGTCCACGAAGCCGAGTCGGCTGATATCTGAAAACGGCCTGATCCGAAACCTGAGCAACCCACCCGAAGATTTCCATCCCGAAGGTTTTTGCTCACGAGCTTCACCTTCATCGGTTTTCACAGGCATGACAAGGCGTTCTTCCTCGTGCGAGCTGGCAGCGGAATATCACCACGAACGCGGATCGCAAACGTCTTGGTTTTGTCACTGCAGTCGTTCCACATAGATGGCGTGGTAACTGCCCACTGCTTGAAGCGTGAGGCAGCCTCCTCTATCTTGGGAACCACCGAATAAGACCGACTCGCGCGCCGGAAAGAGGGCCCCGCACCCGCAACCATATCCCGAGATATTTGGGTCGCATACCACTCCCAGTGCTCTTTGCGGTACTGCGAGAGCGCCTCGCGCGGCCAACCACCAATCCAGATTCTACATGAATTGTGTTGGTCCTTCTCATTGTGCTGCACAGCGTCCGCCTCCACTAGCTGAGCTCGCAGCAGTAGACGGCCAACGAGACGACGTCGAGAGCTGCACTTGAATATTCTGGAACTTAGCCTCCATCTTGGCTTCAATCGCTGCCACTGCCGAAAGTGCACTAGTGTTATCGGTGCAGTCATGCCAGGCGCCGCTCTCATCAACGACTATCGAGGTCACCTGCTGGAAACGCTCCCCCCACTGCGCCGACATCGAACAGACTAGATTTTGCATCGCCTGCGCTGAAGACACTTTCTGAGCCTGAAGGCCCTGAATCTGCAACTCCAGAGAGTCCGTCCTTGCACTCGCCGCTCCCATCACAGTGAATAACTTATTCTTCATCGCACCAATCGCAGCCAGCACGTCTGTTGGGCCCGACATCGCAGCCGAAAAGGAGACAGGAGTAATCCGAACAATGCTTCTTGCACCTGAAAGACGCGTGCTTTGGCGCACGACTGGAGAAGATTGCGAGGTCTAACCTCGGGACGCTCGGGCCAACCCCTTGGCAACGTCCAATCTCGAAGCGCCGGGGCAGCGTTTCGAACTTGAGCCAAAAGGCTACGGAAGTTCGGTCCCCGAAACAATTTATAATAAACTGGCAATAGCCACGGTGGCTGCAATCAAACTGATTTGGTCCAAACTGGCTGCGGATGAAGCAGTTGGCGACAAGTGATGGCCGATTTCGGTAGACGGCTGGGTTCCCGGGCCCCCGTTCCTGGACCCCCGCGCCCCAGGTGCCGGTTGCGGACCGACTTCGGCGGGCGGCGGGGTTCCAGGGGTTCCAGCTTCTGGTTCCCAGGTTCCTGGATTCCCGGTCGATCTCACGATCGATCTCCAAATCGCTCTCACCTTCCATCTCACTCAATCGATACCACTATCGATCTCACGACCGATATCACAACCGACATCACTATCGATCTCACGACCGTTCTCCCGATCGTTCTCACTACCGGTCTCACTATTGATGTCAGGATCGATCTCACGACCGATCTCACTATCTATGTCGCTACCGATGGCACTATCAATCGAGCTATCGATCTCACTACCGATCTCACAATCGATCTCACAACCGATCTCACTATCGATCCCACTATCGATCTCACTGATGATAACACGATCGATCGCGCGAATGATCTAACTAGTCATGTCATATTACTAGTCTAGCGATCCCGCCATCGATCTCACGATCCATCTCACACCAACGAAATCACGATCTATATCACTAGCGATCTGATCTACCCATCGAAAGATCGAACCATCGATCTCGGTATCGATATCACTATCGATTTCACTATCGATTTCGCTCGATCGACCTCCCTACCAGTCTCACTATCGATACCACAACCGATCTCACTATCAACCTCACCTCCGATCTCACTCAATGGATCTCACTGTCGATATCACCATCGATCTCGCCATCGATCTCACGATCGATCTCACTTCCGATCTCACTGAGTGGATCTCACTATCGAACTCACGATCGCTAGCAAACATAACATAAAGTAGCACGGGACACCCCCGCGCGACGGGACACCACGGGACAT